CTCCTCAAATAAATAAATAAAATATTTAAATAAGCAAACAACATTAATTAATTAATTAAAACTGAAGGGGTACATTTAGGATAAGATACACAGAGCCAAGGGCCCAGTAAGCTGCATTAGCAGGTAGCCCAGACCCCCATGTAACTCACCACTGTTGTACCCATGTCCTTCCTTCATTCACTCTGATGGCCATTGTTGAGGAGGGCCGCTTACAATCAGCTGACAGAGGAAGGAAAAGGCTACACCTCATTCACAGACGTGTAGGCTCGGTATATGGTGCGAGCTGACATACCCTACAGCCCCATTCACATGGCCCTGAAGTCAGTGGTGGGGGGCACTCCTGCCATGGGGCAGAGCTTCGGGCGGTATGCCCAGTCATTCTATAGACTCCTGGGCAGCGGCAAATGTCTTGGCTGATGAGTCAGGGGCTGTAAGAAGAAAACCTGAAAAATGGGGACAGGGACATCTAGGAAAGAGGCATGAGGATGCACTTATGGGTGCAGATGCAAAGTATGGAGATCTTTATAACACATGGAAATGCCACCAAAGAGCTACCCCCAAGGAGGCAATCAACAGCCAAGGACACAGAATGATTTGGCCAGTTCGCCTGTTTACATTGGCCACCAACACCCACTTTCCCCAGGGTTAAAATGATGAATGTGTGAAGGAATATCCATGGGGGCAAATCCATGGGATGGAGGCAAGGCACGGGCCCAGCAGCATGAATTCCAACTCACCAGCCCAGCTCCCACTAGGTTATTGCCAATGTCCAATCACCCGACTGAGACCGATGCTGGAGCCCTAATAGCACAGAGTCCTCAGGGAGGCCAACTGATCACCCAGTGCCCGTAGATGCCATTGGCTTCATTTCACTGCTGGAAGAAGCTGCGATTCATCTGACTGTAACCAATACATGGTCTGGATATGAGTTTGCTTTCCCTGTGTGCAGCGCTTCAGGCAACACCACTGTGTGCTGGGCACTGTTCTGTGTTGGCGGTTTGCACGCAGAGAAATGCAGTTAACTTTATAGAGCGTGAACTATATGCCAGTCTCTGTGTTAGGTACTGGGGCTGCACAGACAGGCAAGGTCTTGCCCTTAGTTGTCTCGTGGCTACTGGGGGTTACTTTTGTCCTGGGGACAGGATAGCTATGTTCCAGCATTAAAATGATTTCGCAGGCTAACTAAGCAGATTCTGAGCTCAAGTGACGTCATCATTCCATGGCTAACTTGGGACTGGGACCAGAAGCTTCTATTTTCATTGATGGTCTGACTATAAATAAAGTGTATTCATCCACGTTGATCAGATACGCAAGTCTCATTGGTAAGCAGCATCTTAAAAGGCACTTGATGAAGAAAATAAAATAGAATGAAATAAAGTTTGAACTTCAGCTTTCTACCTTGCAGATGTGAGCATCGCCTTCCCATCCTGAGTGAGTCTTATCTAGGATGGGAAGTCTTGGGTGTCTACAGCAGTAGGAGCCCCCCTTCAACACACAGTTCCTGTCTCCCCCACGGCCACCGTGAAGACACCAAGTGCAGGCAAAGTTCCCTGGAGGAGTCAGGCTTCCAGAACCTCTCCTCTCGGAAATGTGCACACTGATGGAGGGTTCCTTCCATCAAGCCCTCCCACCTGCCCCAGCCCCTTCTCTGAGGTGTACACACTTCCCTTCCTATACCTGTTTCCTGGGAATAAAAGCTTGTAGCCAGGAAGGATGAATGACACGGCCACAATAGGACAGAATGGGAAAGCAACGTGGGTCTGTCCTAGTCCCTCTGTAAGCCCTACACATCTACATTTGCCAGGGGACAGGCCTGCTCTTAATCACATTAAAGAAACTGAGTCACCTGAGGGCCATCCTCAGGAATGACTAAAGTCATCCCAGGAAAGCATATAAAGCAAGATGAGGACTGGGGTGGGGCTGGAGGAATGTCAAGATCAGGGTGCAGGAGCTCTTGGTGGCTCTAAGCCTTGTACTCAGCAGGGGCTTTGGGCAGCAGTGGGGTTGGGAGCACGGTTATCCCCAGGGGGGGCGGGGGGGCTCACTTAAGCTCAATGTGTGCAGCAAGGATTCTGCTGTTCCATAGGCTTGTGCGCACTCGATGCAGGGCACAGACAGCTACAGATCAAGAAATATAGAGATGTTTTGTGAAAGTTTTTATTCACATAAGTCAATGTGGATTTATTATGGATAAATGGATAGTCCACTTATCTCCTTAGCAGCCTTAAGGAGAACTGGCAGCTTTGGGGGTGGGGTGGGCGGACAAAGGGAGAAGACTCCCAAGGAAGTGGGATCCTGGAACCCAAATATGAGACTTTCCACAAGGAGATAATGCACAATTCCACACGCTGATGGATCAAAGATCAAATAAAATCAGGACTAAAGAGAGGTGCTTGTGTGTGTTAGTGCTGACCTCCCAAGAGCACGCCCTGGTGTTGGGACAGACTCCAGACCGCAGCTGAAGGAGAGGACAGGCAGTGAGCTCAGTGGAAAGAATGAGCTTGGGCAACTCTTGTGGAAGGTTCAGGAAGTGTGAGCGGGCCAGGCTAGAGGCTACACAGGAGGCGAGTAGTAAGAGAATCCGTGTTCCCTGAGCCCCCACTGTGCCATCTCACATGCACACGGACATCCCAGAGCTCCCCACATTTCATCGTCACACAACCCCAGGAGACAAGCAAAAGCATACTCATTTCGCTAATGAATAACACGAAGCTCAAAGAAGTAACGTACTTGTCAGCAAGATCTGGGACCCAAGCCTATTTTCAAAATTGTTCTTTCCATGACATTCACATGTCTGGTAGAGTCAAGGGAAGGTTGACTGGTTGCTATTTTAAGAAGGTGGGACACAGGCACGTTTATAGGTGGAGAGAAATGAGTCTTCCTAATCCCCATTGCTAGCACCACCCAACATCTCATTCGACCAGCTCTCTCTAGTCCCAGGACCCCTGCCCAGGCCCCGGGTCAGAGGAGTTGGAGGAGGGCCCAGTGGGTGGAATCAGCATGAGCTCAGCCAGCTCATCTTTCACAGGCTTTGCTTGCGGGACGGAGAAAGCTCTAAGAAAAATAAAGCTGGGCTTTGCTTACTAAAACATCAGTAGCCAGGACTCCTAATCAAGCCGGGGCTCTCACTCCAGCCATTTACCATGGTGCTCTTCCCATCTCCTTCCCCACAGTCCTCGTGGCATCAATGTTATGTGGCTTTGGTCACCTTCCAGACAACTGGTCCTGCCCCTCGGCCCGAGGAGCATGATGGGGCCATACAGCACCCATGGACACCCTGCTCCCCTCAAAAAAGAAGCTTTTCCACAAAATAAAAATGATCCATCCCACTCTCTTGCTGAACGACAAGACATTCTATGAGGTTTGCCATATTTTATTTTTTCCCCAAGTCCCTTGTTCTAGGGACTTCACCCCCGTTATATCCTGAGAGGTAGGCCTGACTGAGCTAATCCCAGGTGGCGGCCGAGAAAGCCAAATGCAGCACAGTTAGGAAACATGTCAAAGCCCTAATAATGACGGACCAAACACTGCAGCTGGGACTTATTTTCCCCTGGCCCTAACCCAGAGCTCTTTCCTTCAGCCTTCAAACCTCAATGCCCGTCCACGTTCCCAGACTGTGGGGCCTTTGGGGAGGCCCGGTGCGGGGAGAGCATCGGATTTGGTGCCAGGCCCTGCGCTAGCTGCTTCACATAAATGAGTTCATTCAACTCCCACTTAACCACTCCAGGTTAGGCAAAACAAACCATTTTAATCAGGTAAAAATAATCATTCTGCAACAAGGAAAATCATAGTAACATGAAGTGATTTATCTAAGATCAGAAATTGAGGGCCAGATGTGGAGCCAGGTTTGTGGGTCCTGGGTGCTAGGCCCACTCCTGGGAACTGGACAGCCTGCGGTGGCCCCCCACCTCAGTGCGCCCTAGCTGACTGTGCATCGATAAGCTGTGCGTCCTACCTGCCCTTCCCACCCACAAGGCAACTGGGGCTTAAATGAAATTGTGCATTTGAAAGCTGCTTGACTACAGACGTGCAGTCCACACTTGCTCCTTATTATCTCAGCCCCATGAACACACGTGCCCTTTCTAAAGACAGAGGATGGATGTCCATTTCTGATGATTAACCAAAGCGCTGAGCTTCACACTCGGATTCATGAAGCAAACGTACAGAATGTACCATCACCTTCCTTTATGTCCCTCTCTGTTTATTTGAAGACTTCACTGTTGAGGTATTCTGCTGGGAAATGTGAACCCTCCGCTCACTCGGAGTGAAGAGGTCTGCCTGGATGTGCATATGTGTCTGGAAGCAAACCCTGGACGCTGGGACCTGGGAGATCTGTGCCTTGCCTCTTACCAACCGTTGGATCCCAGGCAAACCAGTTAGCCTCTATGGGCCTCTGTTTCTTATCTCTCGAAGGGAGATCTTGGGCGTCACTGGGCTTCCTTCCCCCCCTTTACAGCAGAGAAGATAAAATGGGAGCATATACTGGAGTGTACCCTACTTGGCACCAAATCGGAGTTTTAATCCCAACCCCCTCTCTTACTGGCCGTGTGACTTTGGGCAAATCCCTTTACCTTTCTGATCATAGGTTTCTCTCTGTGAAAACTGGCAAGGACTGTTGTGGGAGTAACGCAGCCCAGTTCAGGGTCGGCGGCCCCGTCCTGACCCGCCTTCAAGACGGTTCCCTTCTGAAGCGCAAGATTGTTCCTAGCGTACCGCTGTTTGGCCTCTCCAGAGTCCTTAGCCCAGATGTAGGCTGTTTGATGACGCAGCCACTGATTTTATTGCGAACCTAATTTCTCCAGCGAAGAAATATCTTGAACTGATCATGAGCAAAGTGACTTTGTCTGAGCAGCAAGCAGGTGGCTGTTCTGTCTCCATCCTCAGCACTGACCTCCTCCTGCCCAGGGAGGGGGAGGGGAGGGAGGGTTGGAGAGGCCTGATGTCACACAGCCCTACATAAGGGCCTCCTTTAGGCTCCTGCGGGTGGTTTGGAAGCAGCTGAGGAATGAGTTAGGTCCCGGTTGTGGGATTTTTTTTTTTTTTTAAGTCAGACACAGACACAGCTGTTGAGCAAAATGCAGACTCCACAGAAAACCCAAAGCCTCAGACCCTTCAAGCAGAGGAAGAGTTTAGGTAAAATTCTAAGGGAAGCTGTCTGGATTGCCCAAGAGAGGGAAGAAGATACAGACTTCTCTTGCTGTTTACTTACTCCTTTGTCTTTGAAACATTCACAGCAACCAGACAAGAGGAAGTTGCTGGAATCCGGGCAAAGTTCCCAAACAAGATCCCGGTAAGACTTCATTGTGCTTTTTTGAAAAGGAGTATACCCTGGGGCGCCTGGGTGGCTCAGTCATTAAGCGTCTGCCTTCGGCTCAGGTCATGATCCCAGGGTCCTGGGATTGAGCCCCGCAACTGGCTTCCTGCTCCGCGGGAAGCCTGCTTCTCCCTCTCCCACTCCCCCTGCTTGTGTTCCCTCTCTCGCTGTGTCTTTCTCTGTCAAATAAATAAATAAAATCTTAAAAAAAAAAGGAGTATACCCTGTTCCTTGAAAAATAAAATAACAAGAAGAAGGGGAAAAAACCCACTCTCTCTCTCTATTCTAAATTTCTAAGATACTGAGAGCTCGGAGTCACATTCTTAGGGACTGACCCTCTTGACAGGTGATAGTGGAGCGCTACTCCAGGGAGAAGTTCCTGCCTCCTCTGGACAAGACCAAGTTCCTGGTCCCGCAGGAGCTGACCATGACCCAGTTCCTCAGCATCATCCGGTAGGTGACAAAGTGCACGTCGGGGAGTGTGTTGGGCTTTTTTCCGTTTGCTTTGTTAGTTGGTTTGGTTTTGAGGATGGGGCATTCTGGAAGAGAGAGAAAAGATTTCCTTTGTGACTCACCTTTTAGATTCTGTAGTGCCCAGAAAAGATGCTCTGAGAATTAATCTAACTTAAACAGGTGGGAGAACCCACAGATAACAAGTTTAAAGAGAATAAGAGCTGCCAACTTTTCTAAGAAGTTTCAGAGGTCATCTTGGCTCTGGAACTAGTCCAGAAGATCCTTTTTTCCACATGCTGCTTAAAACCCAGTCTGCATTTTCCCAGGAGAGACACGGTACCTTTAAAGTGTGTGTGCACTTGGGGGAGTGGGGACCTCTTCAAAAGGCAAATGCCCCCTGCACTGCTCAGACCCTGGGAGAGAGGATAGGGAGGGCGTCCCCAAACATGCTCCTCCCTTGGGTTAAGGCACAGCAAAGAAAATGGAGCTATTTTTAAAGCTTAACAGGGTTAAGTAGTGTCACCTGACACATGGCTTCAATAAAAATGATTTGGGACTAATGTGAATGTAACCCCTGGGGGGTAATTCTTCATAGGGTTGAAAAGTCTGGAGAGGCCAGCCCTTGTGAGTTGCATAGCTGCTTGTTTCCTCAAGAATTCATTATGAGTGTGTGTCTGTCTCTGTTCTGTTTCTCTTTACGAGTTATTTAAGAACATCCCAATTTTCTCTCCTCAGGGAAGCTTATGTTGGCCCAGAGTGACGTGGAGGTGGCTAAGGGAACATGAGCGTTAGGATTATATCCCTTCCCCTACCTCCCTCGGAAACAACCCTTGGAGTCCTGAGAGCCATTCTTTTTCTCCTTCCCAGACAGGGGTCATCCTCTCTTTTCCATCAGCCCTGATCTCCTCCCCAACCCAACATTTGATACTCCAGGATGTTTATTGAGCATCAGTTATGTTCTCTGTTCTTTCTAGGCTCTGTCTTTACAGCAGTGAACAGAATAGACAAAAATCCCTGCCCACAGCCTCCTTCTCCAGGGAATGCCAAAACCCTCATTGAAAGAGAGCATGGCAGGCCAGCTGGGTGGTGCCGTTGGTTAAGTGTCCAGCTCTTGGTTTCAGCTCTGTGATCTCAGGGTTGTGAGATTGAGCACTGTGCTGGGCTCCATGCTCGATGCAGGGTCTGCTTGGGGATTCTCTCTCCCTCTCCCTCTGCCCCTCCAGCTTATGCTCTCTCTCTCTCTCAAATATATAAATAAGTCTTAAGGAAAAAGAAAGAAAGAAAGAAAGAGAAAGAAAGAAGAAAGAAAGAAAGAAAGAAAGAAAGAAAGAAAGAAAGAAAGAAAGAAAAGAAAGAAAGAAAGAAAGAAAGAAAGAAAGAAAGAAAAAGAAAGAGAGAGCATGGCAAAAGATAGGAGGTGGGCATGCAAACTCTGGGAACGGAGTTCCCTCCAGAGCTGAAGGCCACGCACTTGTTCTCAGCTCCACCCACTCCCATTGTAGAGCACTTCTTTTACCCCAAAACACCCATGCAATTGTCAAAGCCGAAATCTTTGGGGTTATTTTGGGAGGGATTATCTGGTTGTAAAATTAATCGATTTCCAGCCAGCTGTGTCCCACAGCCACACAGACCTAGCTCACCTGAAAGTTCAAAGCTCTGAGACCAGAGTGGGCAGGCTAGGCCTGTCTCTCCAAGCAGAGCAAATGGAAGTGTGGCTGCAGGGAAAGAGTCCTTACCTGGGGGTCCACATGGCCATGTTGTCCTCCACCCCAGGAGGAGTCAGGCCTCAGATTGACCTTGACATTTACAGCATGTCCAATTGAACTTTGCTGCTTCTCCATCTCCTTGAGATGGGAGGAGGGATGGCAGGGGGAGGAAAGAGCAGCTACCCATTGCTCAGGAGCAAAAGAAAGAAAAAAAAAGAAAGAAAAGAAAAAAAGAAAGAAAGAAAGAGAAGGAAGGAAGAAAGAAAGGAAAGAAAGAAAGAGAAACAACCTTCCAAAATGTCATCCCAAGGCTGTTGAACAGTGAGATGCTGGGAGATACTGGAATCACCTTTGTATGTCTGTGGATGTACATACCTTGAGTTTCAGAGCAAAGAGGGGCTTATTAGCATAGCATTTTTGTGTTGGTATGTCTCCTAGTTAATGACAGGATGGCCTCGCCCTTTTGGTCCAACGGGGAGGACTTAAGGTATTTTAAATCTACAGGGAAGGAGTAGGGAGCTATTCAGTCTTCCTGAGCATCATGACTCTGCAGCCCTGTGGGATGCTTCCAAGGCAAGCTGAATCAGAATCCCTGGGTGTTGAGGAGTGCCTGGGGGGGCTCAGTTGGTTAAGCTAAGCATCTGACTTTGGCTCAGGTCATGATCTCAGGGTCCTGAGATCAAGCCCCATGTCAGGCTCTGTGCTCAGCTGGGAGTCTGCTTGTCTCTCTGCCCCTCCCCCTGCTTGTACACACACTCTCTCTCTCCATTAAATAAATACATAAAATCTTTAAAAGAATCTCTCTGTGTGGAGTGCAGGCATCTGCTTTCAAGAGGCCCTCCTGGGGACTTGTCGAGTTTGAGGACAATGCGCTCGAGTGGGGAGGTGGGCTCCTTGGGTCAACATGTTTGCAGTGGAAAAACAGAGGTGAGTCAGGCCTTGGGTCAGGGGCCCATTCCCTGCCCAGTTGAAGTTTTCCCTTCCTGCCCCTCCCTCCTCCCCACCCAGGAGCCGCCTGGTCCTCGGGGCCACTGAAGCCTTTTACTTGCTGGTGAACAACAGGAGCCTGGTCAGCATGAGTGTGACCATGGCAGAAGTCTACAGAGACTACAAGGATGACGACGGCTTTGTGTATGTGACCTACGCCTCCCAGGAGATGTTTGGCTGCTCGGGGTCAGCGCGGACCCTGCCATACTCTCTAGTGCGTGTCAAGAGCCAGTCCTCTAACCTGCGGAGGGACGGACCGCCTCCTGTGTGTGTGGCGGGCGGTCCAGGGAGCAGGGCTGCGCCTCAGTGATCGGCACCCCCCATGACAGGAAGGCCTGGCCACCCCTGTATCTTTATGGGGCTCCATGCTCTGTGTGCTCTAAGACAGTGGGGTGGCTCTTGGGAACTAAGACATACTAAGTCTTTTCTGAGTAAGAAATGGTGAGCTTGTGTGATGGTTTTGTGCGGTGAGCTGGAGATGGATTTCACGTGTCTTCTGTGGTGGGAGCCGGCAGGCCCTTGGGGAGTCTGATTTCACCCCCGTGTGGGGAGGAGTCCCGCGTGTGCTTGGTCATAGGGAAACTCGGGCTGTGGACGGGTCCCTGTGGAGCCCCCACGTGGAGCTGGTGTGAACCAGCTCATCTGGGGGTGGGGTCCTTCTCTGTATCGTTACAGAGATGATCGTTGTATTTCCACAGCGTTCGCTCAATTTGCTTATTTCCTCGATTCTGTTGTGTGTATTTATGCGGTACAGATTCATGCCAAAGATGCAACTGTTCAATATAAAGTCACTTAACTCCTGTGCATGTTTGCTACGTGCCAGGCACCCCGTGTGCCTCATCACAACCCTCTATGGCTAATTATTGTGATCTTCGTTACACAATGAGGAAATGGAGGCCCAGAAAGGTCAAAAATATTTTCAAACAAGGTCTGCTGGGATGGGAGCCCAGGGAGTCTGGCTTTGGAAGCTGCCCGCACTCCTCATTCTCTGTGAGAACCCCTTCTGATGCGAGATCCAGCTGGCTGCTTGAGCTACAGAGCCCACGTTCACCAACTTAGCCCATTGGGAGACCTGAAAAGTGGGGCATGCGGGAGAGCTTGGCAAATGAATGATGGTGGGTGTTTGGTTTAGAAGCTGCCCCACAAAGTATCAGCATATTTTTCGGGGAAGGCTTTGCAGGGTGTTCAGCTTGAGCAGGGTTTTGAAGCATGGATAGGAGTTTGTCTCAAAAGGATTTTTACTTATTTATACTCAACATACATTTACTGAGCACTTACTAAATGGTAAGCACTATTCTAGGTCGTGCAAATACAATATTAACCAAGACAGGAAAGGTCCCAGCCCTCAGGAGTCACTTCGATTCTGGGGAGGGAGGAAAGACAATATTCAAGACGAGTTTGATGCTTATAAGTACAATAAAGAAAAATGAAACAAAACAGAAAATGATTCAAAGATTTAATCCTTTCAGTAGGATGGCCAGAGAGAGTTTCCGGGAGGGAAAAACTTTCACCTGGACCCGAAGGATGACCAGGAGCCAGTGGTGGAGGCTGAGCATGCCAGGGAGGGAAGGTGGCCGGGCAGGTCGAAACACGTGAGCCTGACAAACGGAGAGGATTCTGGGGCGGAGGCAGCGGGGAGGGGGAGAGAAGTTAGGCAGGGGCCAGGTCTATGGGGTCAACTTTGCTAAGGTGTTTGGAGTTTGTTTTAAGGTTGCTAAGTAGGAAAGCAGAAGCATTCTAACTGGAGAAAAGAGGCTCAGGGAAGGTGTGATCTCCCCCGCTACGTCCCCCAGCCGCACGGAGCTGGCCTGTGTCCTCCGCTCACTCTGGGGATCAGCTTCCTGACTTCTAGGCGGCAAGCCTGCCCTCTCTCCTGCCCTCGGCTGTCCTTTCCCTGCCCGGCTTGCCCGCTCTACCGCTCTACTCACTTCCTCTAACACCCATTCATCGAGTCCTCTTTGCCATCTGCCAAGGAAAACAGAGCCTGCCCTGCTTGTTCTCCAGATCCTGTTGCTTCACCCTGAGGGACGAATATTCTTCCTGAATGAATCTATGTCCCTGGATTGACTCTGACCTTGATGAGAGGTGGTTGGCCCTGGACAACCACCTAACTGCCGGTGCCCGGGGCTCGTGCTCCTGCTCTCAGCCTTATCTATTTCCATGCCTGCTCTGGAATCCAGCATCTAAGCTTGTCATACTGGGTCGTAGCTGGGTGAGCTGCTGTGTTCGGTCTCCAAGACCGTTCCCAGTACGGCTTCCCTCCTGCGTCAACGCCTGGCTGCCTTGTTTTCGGTGCACGGTGTTTCCTGCTGCTATCTAACCAATCAGCCAAAATTCGTAGGTGGCATAGAACCATCCGGGCTTTTTTGTGCTCATGGTGTCTGTGGGTAAGGATTCCAGAAAGTGCACAGTGGCCACAGGCTTGTCTCTGCTCCCCAACGTCTGGGGACTCAGCTGGGAGACCCAAAAGGCTGGGAGTGACTTGAACAGCTGGGAGCTGGGATCATCCAGAGGCTTCTTCAGTCTCTCATCTGACTCCTGGGCCAGAATGACTCAAGGCTGGGCCCAGCTGAGCCTGGAGGGGCGGATGGCCATCCTCAGGAGCAGCAGGAGGGCATGCGATCCAAGGAGCCAAGACTGCAGCTGACCTGTCCCTAGGTGATGAATCTCAATTGATTTTGGTCATGATTTTTTTTCTTTATTTTCTTCACAACTACTCAGATGCATAAGATTAATTGGCAATGTGTCCTTCGATAAATTATGACTTTTCTGTTATGGTATTCATCATTTCCTATTGATTTTTATGAGTTCACAAAGTTGAGTAATTCACTCTTTGTATTAAAATAATTACCCAGTTCTTTTTTATCTTGTTTATGGCAGACTTTCTCACATAGCTGCTTTTTATCCTTATGTGATCTTTTCCTTGTGGAGTCTGAGTTCGCGTTCTCAATAGACAATTTCTCCCAACTCCACGATTATAAACAATGTATACCCATCCTGTGTTTACTTCTAGCACCAATGATTTCACTTTGTTTACATTTAAGTATTGGAACCAACTGGAATTTATTTTGGTAACAGAAGAACGTATGCAGGTTCCATTTTTCCCAAATGCCTAACCAAGTGTCACATGCGCTTTTAATAAATTATCTATCTATGGGTGTTTGAATTTGCTGTGATTATGTGTTTATGTCTTATTACCATAATAACAACAACAACAACAAAATGCTTAAGAACAGTGGACTGTGACTTTCCTTTTTTGGGTTCCCTGCAGCTCCCAGTAATGCTAAGCACATTTGGCTCATTAATGTTTGGTGATAAATTCGAGAACCTGCATTGTCAGAGGGAGATACTAGAATTATGGGATTGTGCCATTGGTTGTTTCCACAGTGATGAGGTCAGGCACAAAACCATTTTGGTTTTGTTGCCTGTTTTATGGCATTAGCCACCCTCTCCTCACGCCCATAAAACCAAAGGAGAGCAGATAAAAATGCACTTGCTTATGTCACAGCTAACGTAGGATCTAAAGCTGATCCGATTCCCTTGAGTGCCTAGACCAGAGATCATCAAACTGCAGCCTCCAGCCATCTGACATGGGGCTATTTCTGTAAATAAAGTACTTCTGGAATGAATGCAGCCTCCCCATTTCTTTACCATGGTCTCTGGGTGCTTCTGGGCTATACTGGCAGAGTTGAGTATTTGTGACGTAGACCATATAATCTGCAAAGCCTAAAATGTTTACTATCTGACCCTTTACAGAAAAAGTTTGCTGACCCCCTACTCTAGGTTTACGGTAATAATTTTATCATCAAGAGCTCCTGGCAGATAAATCACATTAGGAAGACGTTTCTTTTCATTGTTGTTGTTTTGGTCCTACCAGAGCTGGGAAGGAAAGCATCTCCCAGACCACTGGGCTCATTGATTTTGTGTGGCTAAGTCCTTGACTGAATGGAGACACTCCTAATCACGGCTCATACTCGCAAGTCCCCGCTGGGCTCACTCACCCTTCATTTGCTTCTGAAATATGCACGGGGGCTTTCTAGGACTGAATTGTTTCTTTTCAGAAACAAAAGAAACCAGTTCACACCAATTTCCCAAAAAACCCCCTCCAGGTGAGGGGACCTCAGCTGCTCACAGCCCACGGGCCCCTCACACAAGACTAGATTCTAGATCGAGGGCAGGACTTCCCAGCCTATGCACAATTGACATTTGGGCAAGTAATTCTCTGTGGCGAAGGCTGCCGTGGTATCAGAGGGTGCTAGCAACACCCCAGCCTCTATTTACCAATGCGGGTAGCATGGTCCCCTCACCCCAATAGAGACACCAAAAAGCCTCCAGGCTTTGCCAAATGTCCTCGGTGGGGGGTGGGGAGGGGTGGGGGTGTGTGGGAGGTGGGGGTATGTGAAATTGCTCCCCGCTCAAAACCATACATAGCTCAAGCCTCCTCTAGACCTAACGTGTGGTCTGTAGACACGCGGGTCAGCCTCACCTAGGAGCTGGTTAAAAATGCAGAAGGTCAGGGCTGTCTTCAGAACTACTGATCGGAATCTACAATTTATCAAGAGCCCCCAGGCGATTTGTAGGCACATTCAGTTTGAGAAACACCAGCCTAGACATTATGGGTAGTAACTGTCTGTCTCCTCCCTCCTTGGAAAGTGCAGAAATTGTGCTTCCCCCATACCCCTTCTTCCACTGTGTGAGCACACACCTTGGCCCAGCACCGTATTAAGAGATAATGCCGTGTCCTGGGAAGAGCCGGGACTTTGTCATCAGACAAACCCAGGTTTAAAAGAAGAGTGAGCACCTGTGGGTCTGGGAGATTACTTACGTCAGTGTCCTCATCTGAAAAATCTCTGGTTTGTGCTTCAGAAAACAAAGGCCTTCTGAGTAGGTAATTGTCGAAAGATCACACTTTCGGTATCAAAGTTTGCAGATCACTTATGTAAGTTTCTCACAAGCGATGAGATCAAAGGCAGCAAGGTTCCCACTAACAGGACCGTACCAGGAGCGGCTTCCTCTACCCTATAAACTCCAACTTTAGTTCGGAACCCGAGGGACTCTGTTGACATTTAAATCAGAGCTCACAAGTACCACCAGGTGGCGCCAACACCACTTCGTTAGATTTGGCCAAGCAGTTTGCGGCCAGTCAACCTAAATCCCCCCAATTTTCAAGTTCCTAATTGGGTAACTGAAACTTCTGCAAAGGCTAGCTCTAGCCGAAGGGGAAATCAGACATAACTGTTGGGGAAGAATCGACAGAACATTAAAGGTGTCTCCTTGACACCAATGCTAGTTAGCCTGTAGGCGAGAACT